AGGGTGGTGGTAGGAGTGAGACGGCCCCTGGGAGAGCACGGAGGAGGAGTCGGAGTCATTCTCCACGCTGCCGGGGCTGTAGACACTGGGTGAGGTGCTCCTGTTATCCTGGTCAATGTCCCGTGGGTCACTGCTCATCTCATCGTTGAAGCTGTGGCCATCAAGGCTGTCAACATCGGATGGGGATGGAGGACAGGGCAACTCCTGAAGTAGGAAGAAGGAGGAGGGAGGCTTTATGTGGCTTCCCAGACCATGAACGCCACATTTCAAGTTCCCAGAGAACTTGCTTTCTGATCTTTCTCTGCCAGCCCCAGCACTAGAAAACCCCAAAGAAGGAAGGAGACATTGTCTAGCAAGGTATAAATAACACCAGCCCTCCTGCCTCCCCTCCAGTGCTCTCAGGTCCTTCATGAGCATCCCACACTCAGGAAGGAGGTAACGATGGGTACCTTGACTACAGAGGCAGCAAAGGAGGGCAGGGAACTGTTAGAGACAAGGTTGAGAGTGAATAGATATGCAAGGTCCTAGCACCACCACCACTGGTGATGGGCCGTTGGATAGGCTATGATACCACCAAGTGGCACAGAGCAGCACGCACCACAGTGGGCCCAGCATGGCCCAGCACAGCCCCCAGACCCAGAATTATTTTTCTTGGCCCTGCAAAGCTCTCCCCAGGCAAGGAGACCCACTCCCCTCGGGCCCCCTCTCAGTGCCCCACTCCTTACCTCCCAGAGTCTCCCCTGTGCTTCCCAATCCCTGCTCCTCCCCACCACCTCTTGCCTTGAGCAATGAAGCTTCGGTGATTTAAGTTAGTATGGACAACAAATAAGTGCCACTCTTGAGCCTCAGGGCTTACAAGAGAGGCTAAACTGAAAAAAGATCACTGTTGAGCTGAACAGTGTCCACATGGAGAAATTACATAGGTGTAACCACAGTGATTTAATTACAATGATCTCATAACACAAGCAAATATCCCCGCGTTTGCCTGCCTTCAAGGCCAGTTCCCTGAACAGGCTAACGGGGAACTGAGAAGCACAAGAGCCGAGTCTTCCTACAACTGCCTGACCACCAATCCAGCCTGGTGCCGTCGGCATTTGGAGAAGTCCTGCCACAAACATGCAGAGCGTGCACATGAGCAGGTTTTGCACAACCATCACCCAGACCCCACCATGACTTAAGCACCTTGGTTTCACACTGCTTTGGGGTAGCAAAAGAGCGTGAGTCTAACCTGACCGGCAGCAGCGCGCGGAGCCAGGCTCTTGCCACTGAGCCAGGAAAGGCAAAGCACATGTCCAGCTCCTAGAGCGCAGCAGCCCCCTCCAGACAAGGCAAAAGAGACTGAGAGCCTCCATCTGCTCAGGCGTCACTCCTGGTGGCATTTTTGTAGCCAGGCAAATGCCATTTAGGTTGGAAGAGCTGCAGTGCAAAACCCAAGGTGCCAGGGCTCCCGAGCAGCAGGAACCTCAAGCTGGGCAGTTGTGAGCAGCATGGGTCGGGAACAGGAGACTCCTTTGACCTGGACCCAGGACATGCCAGCAATCACAGCAAGGACAACTCACCTCGGTTTTAGTTTTTTTGGGGGCACTGGTGTCCTCCCCTTCACTCTCCGAGATCTCTTCTGTTCGGCTCTGCTTGCTGCCCTTGGGGGTGCAGGATTCCTCCACCCGGCCTTTCTGCGAGGCAAAGAAGGAGAACAGGGAGGTGGAAGGGTCACAGGGAACCTTCCCACCCTGCCAGGCCTTCACAGGCTGCAGCAGGTGAGACACTGTCACCACAGCACGCATGTTGCAAGAGCTCCGTAGTGCAACACTGAGCCAGAATATAGCAAAAATCAGCACTCAACAGGGCTGGTGAGACTGAAGACTGGTTCTTGGGAGATGATGGGAAGTGCAAGATGCTGAGGATGAGAGGAAAGAGGGATTCCACCCATTCCAGAGAGCTAACCCTGCATGGGTTCCTCAGTGGATCCCTTCTGGTCTGCACCCCTGGACCCCCAAACAGATCCTACCCGGTCTGGGCAGTCCTCAGGCACCGCGCGCTCATGTACTAGCTTATACTACCTTTGTCGCTTGTCGGGATTTCTCAGCCTTGCCATCACTGCTGGAGGTGCTGACGCCCCCGGGGGAAGCTCGACCCCGTGACCTGAGCTCCTCTCGGGGCCCTGGAGTCTCTTTCTTCCGTCCACTCCGCATTGACATCTAAGAGAGGGAACACTGGATCAGTCCTGCTTTGCATCTCCCTCCACTCCCGCCCTGTCCCCAGCCTCCTAAAGCCCCCGAAGCCCTGGCACTGCACTATGCCAAACTCATGTCCACGAGCTTTGTTGTGAGCCTCAGTCCCAACCCACAGCTCCAGCTTGGCTCCGGTGTCCCATCTCACATACCGAGTCCTTGTTCTGTCGCGTCTTCATTCTTTTGGGTGTGGGACCCCCATTCTCCTTGGCCCGGCTTGATGAAAACATAAATTTTTATCACTCCGCACCCCCCTTCGGCTGTTCCCGGGGAGGCGGAGACAGGCAAGAGCAGTTCTTCTGAACAGGTGGCTTACACCAGCAACGCAACAAGATCCCAGTGAATCCTGAAAGGCAGACAAGGAGATGAGAGGGGAGAAAAAGTGAGTGGACTGTGGGACATCCTTTTGCGGTCTGCTACAGAAACATGACAAAATTATTACTCCTTCCTTAACTATTATTTAGAGATGCAAGGATCTTTACCAAAAAATGCAACAAACTTCCCCAGCAGAGGGGGGAAAGATTTGGCCACTGTCATATCTGATTTCCAATTTCTGGGAGTGATACCCACACAATGCAAGTCAGGCAGCCCTCCAATTTTTGGGAGGAAGCAGGGAGGAATGGTTATCAGTATGTTGATTGTCCTCTGAAACCATTTTAGTATTTCCATTTCCTTCTTTATTTCATCTTCAGAGACAGAGGGGGGGAAATAAAGGGAAAGTGCTTAATGGGAATGCTCCTAATACTTTTCTGACTTCCTAAGTTCTTCTTTGCACTTGTTGTGAGTGCAGTAAATTACACCACCCTTAACTGGCCATGTGCTGTCCTTAGCTCGCTCGGCACAATGAGCCCCCAGTGGCCTTTGCTGAAGGGGTATTATACAGCTCTGCCCTCTCCAGAGCATATGCACATGCATACATGCACCAGCACGTTATGCAGAAAATGTGACAAGCCTTGCTCAGGCTGTTCAGTATCCAAGGTACACAAACAGGTGTGAGAAAATACAGTTAGCTTTGATTTTGCATGACGCAAACGGAATCAGCTCTGTTTAGCTCGGACCGCTTGCCTAGGTCTCCTTCTCCACACACTGGACTGCGTCTCTTTACCACCTAAGAGTAGTGCCCAGAGATGAAGAGTACATTCTTACACTTTGCAGCAGCGGGAAGATTTCTGAGCTCCCTCTGAATAAATTTACCGCTTTGTTCTATGTCCAAAAGCACCATAGATATTTAACACCCTGTTATGCCACGCAGTTCCTAGAGTTTAGAGTATGAAAGCACCATGATTGTGTTAGCCTGGGAACTGGACTGAAGTGATTCAGGGATGCTGCTCCTGAAGCTAGTTTGCCTGGCTCCATCCAGCTCAAGATCTTTTGCGCTGCACTGTACTGCGCAGGTGTAACCAAAAAGAGCTCATAACTCAAGAAGAGCTGTCATTTGAGCTCCTATACTTGGCCTCTGGAATGGACAATCTGCAAGACAAGGAAATGTGTCCTGTGGATGAGGCATCAGGAGAAAAACTCTGCATCTCCTGGGTTATATTCTCTGATCTAGAACCACGGCAAAGTTTTGTGAGTAAGTACAAGACGACTCTTGAGATTTGGGACTCCTAAAGGACATCCCCAACCTGGAAAGATCAGCTTCCAGCCAGCCAGTGCAGGAGCAGTCTGGATGCACTTCCATTTCTCTGAGAAGGGAGCTAAAACCAGGGATCAGAGCAAAGGCACCAGACAGGATAACTCCTGAACCTCCTGTGCAGCCCTGCTGCAAGGCCCTGGAGTTGCTGTTTTCCACCACCTCCGTCTCCCTACCTGTGAAAAGGGAGTAATGACACCAGGCCATCTCTTGTGGGGCTCCACAGCTTCCTTGACCAACGCTTAAAGAAACCCATCCGGAAGACACTTGGGATGAGCAGGGGATTGTTTGTTTTAATTTCATTAATATTTTATTTGACCCTCATCATGGAAGCCACGAGGGACTCATCCAGCATTAATTCCCACACACAACAATTCATTAACTGAGACCTCTTCTTTAATAGAAAAATAGCTCACGATGGTTTATAACTGACCTAATGGAGGCAGAGCACTCTCCTAATCCCTACCAGCTGACGTGTTTTACAGCCTTACATTTCTGTCATACTTCGGCCTTTGGTTGCCAATTCAGCCAGTTACACTGATGCTATTCTAGATAAGTATCTAGAATTAACATTTCTTACATGAAACAAACATTGTAAGTACGGCGATCCTAATTTAACTCAGCTTCAACACACGCCATGCTGGGAGCCTTCGAATATTAGCTTAGCTCTGAACACACAGAAGCAGCAGCAGCGGCACATTACCAATATGTCACCACTCTTTACATTCAACAGGGATGCCACCCACACCTGCCACACCAAAGAACCGAACTTCATAATGCAGCGCACAGGTCTCACTTCAGCTTTCCAGTAACCCTGCAATGACAATTATGGTCTTCCTTTCAGAGAGGCAAGTCGGAGAAACAATATGCAGCCAACCACATCCCGAAACTTCCCTTTTTCAAAAGAAATACCAACTTGGTACTTATGTCAACCACTAAATATGTGGTACTAAACAAAGGCAGAAACAAATAGGTATGTTTCAGTAGACATAATTAACCACCGGGGCAGAAGTTTCTATCACTTAAGAGAGCGAAGGCTTTTTAAAAATATATAACAGAACTGATGCACACATTATTAGGTTCAGTACAGTAACTGTTACATCAGAGGCCAGACGAGAGGATCACAACACTGCCTTCTAATTTTAACATCTATGAAATAAAAGCTTGCAATGTGAACCTTGACAATTAACAAACTTACACCTAACTCTTCCTGTCACCGAAGATCCCTGTAAATGTCTCTGAAGAATTATTAGGCCTCTATGGTTTTGGAAAGGAAATAAGACATTTGGCAAGGCTGCTGTCAAAGGGATAACCTTTTCCTGGCCCTGTGAAGCCCTTTACAGGTTTGACTGAGTTATGAGGCATCGCGAATTGCTATTTTCTGTTTGCGTTTCATACAACCCAGCTTGGTTTGGCTTACTGCCCAAATCCCTCCATATTCTCTTGTAAGCCCTGGTGCAGTCTCCTGCAAGCAACGCACACTCAACAGGCATCCCCACACGGGATCCAAAATGGATCCTGCTCCTCCGCCTCCCCAGCTTCAAGTAATTCTCCTTGCCAAAGGCGGACTGTCCTGCACAGGCAGCAGGAGACCATGGGCACCAGTTTCTCTTCTATTGAAGGACGCAGACAATCCCTCTCTCCTTCCCAGGCTGTAGTGCAGAGCAACTCTCCACGGGTTACAAAACTGGAATCAAGTCCATCTCAAGTGAGATGCACTCACGTTTTACCTCCTCAAGTATACACCCTTGGTCTTTTCTCAGAAAGTTGGGAGAACATTTGCCCTTGGCTGAGGATAGCATTTACATGTTAGATTGAGGGTCTGAGAAAATAAACCTTATTAGATGGCAACAGAAGCAGAGGAAATGAGAACAGGACCAAGTTGTCTGGGACAGCTTGTGGAGGCTTGGCTGGGACTGTAAATGACAAATGAGTCATGTGCCCCAAAGGCTTGCACATGCCTGGGCTGCACATGCAGGTACACCCAGCACAGGTCCCAACAGCAGGGAAGCAATTTCCAGTGAGACAGGGAAGTCTGGGAGGTGCCTCCAAATCCACAGAGTGCTGAAAGGTTCTGTGATTTCGGCTGGTGCTCAATGGCAGCGGAAGCTCCAGGATGGGAAGCCTAAATCTGGGGGTCCTGTCTGCTTGAGAAGATTAAAAGCCAGCTGAGGTCCAGATAGCCCTCCATGGGGCCAGTGGCAAGAGAAAGGAGAGAAGGGAGAGCTGAAGGCTCCCAGCATCCATGCCACTTAAGAAAAAGAGCTACCACCACCGTTACTTCAGCAGCATTTCTTTAGCTAGCAGACATTTAATGCCTGATCCACTCCTCACCAAGATTAGCTGCTGGTCCTCAGTTGTCTATAGTTACCACACTTCTTCCCTTTCTTTTTGCATTACTCGTCTCTTGGGGGAAACAAAAAAAACAAAAAAAAACCAACCACAACATCTACTTGGGTCTATTATCTACTACTCCTGATCTTCTCCGACTGTAATGTCCCAGTAATCTCAAGCGATTCAGACCTGGTCCAAGCAGGAGAGGAGGTGCAGCACGCAGAACATGACTATGGTACGTGACACAGGAGTCGCCCCTGAGCTAGCCAGTGATGATTTGGGGGTGGAGGGGAATAGCACTGATGTAGCCTCTTCTCTCCACCCAGGCTCTGCCTAGGCATTGCCTGGTAGACCACATCCCTAGTTGGAGGCACTGAGTGCAAAGATGTCAAGGTGCAGGGTTGGATCATTCAGTCTCAAAGAAGAAATGAATTAAAAACTCTGCAACCCACCAGGACCACAAATGCTGCAAGAAAGGACAATCTGACAGCATCTGTACTTTTCAATAAAATGGGACAGTGCCTGATCTCTGGTCCTGGGGGTGATTGGCATTACACAGCTCTTGCCTGTACAGCAAAATTCTCTCACCCTCCAAAAGGGGACAGAGACATCTAACCTGGCCACTGGCCATCAGCACGGTCCCACACTAAACTCCTAAGCCATGCTCAGGCATCATCTGGGAGGGTGCTCGTTGTCACAGACCAAAAACTGTACAAAGGAACCCCATGGTAATGGACAGCCAGTGATGCGCACCAGTGTTGCATAGAGGTAGCCAGCATTATCTTCCTCTAGGTGCAAGTCCACAGAAAATAAGTTTGGAGTGAGAAGTATAGATGTTCTGAAGTTCAAACCTCTTGTTTTGGGAACTGTTTGAAAGTACACAGTGACTATTCTTTAAGTCACTTTTTGAAATGTAGGAACTACATCCAAAATCCTACATGAAATTAAAGGCATTTGGCTTGCAAAAAGGCAGAGATTTAGAAGTCAGAAGGTGTGAGAATTAAACTGAGTCTGTTTCTCTGCAATTCATTAGCTCCATGTTCCCACCCTGGTTTTTCTCTTCCCCCTTCTGCAAAGGGATGGGTTAGCACTGGAGAGAGGAACCAGGGTGGCAAAACAAATACAGCTGCTTTATAACAAATTGCAGATGCTGGAAAGTGTCCTGAAAGTAACATGGGATGATAACCAATGGATCCTGCTTGACAGGTAAAGACGACTCAGATGCAAATGCCCACTTGGAGCAGTATAGCCAGGGGATACGCACCATGAGTGGGAAGTCAGAAGTTGGCATACTTATATACACTGTGCACTGAATGACAGTCCAAGCAATATATTTTTCATTCCTGTCTCCATTTCCCCATTTATAAAATGAAAG